GAGACTTGTTTTGCTTACTTGGTGTTTGTTTTTCTTCCCCAGGGGTGACTCCAAGCCTGTGACCTCACCTGCTTTTGGACACCTCTCTAAAACTCAGTTTCAGTTTAAAATGTGGGCGCCAATAACGTACAAAATAAACTTGGCTCTACTTTTATTTGGGGTCTGAACACTCTTATTTGGAAGTCTTTCTTAGCGCCTGTGGAGCGTTGGGTCATGTAGACTTGGTTCTCCCGCTTCCCTGATAGACTGTAACCTTCCAGCTGCACGGCTTTGCTGTGGGTATCCTGGGTGCCCCTTAAGGCTGCCAGCAGTCCAGAGGGATGCGGAAGCAGGACGCTGGGCTTTCAAGAAATTCTTGGAAACTTGAGTTCTTGAACAGAGACTGCAGAACTCAGGGCTCTTGTCTTGTTTCAGGGTGAATGTCTGCGGAGGGCAGTGCTGCCATGGCTGGAGTAAGGCCCCTGGCTCCCAGAGGTGCACCAAACGTAAGTTGGATTGGTCACAGTGTCTTGGAACAGTAGACCACATGGGGATGTTCACGTGGGAGATCCCACAGTGGTCACTCTCAGGGGCTGATGCTGATGTGGGGAATCGACCTGAGCAATTGCCAAGTTGTTGGCTGCATTACTGCAACCTTCACTACCACACAGAAGAGCCTTTGGGTTGAGGAAATTGTGCCCTATCAGTGCCACAGGCGGCAGATGCCTTGTGTAGAACCAGGGTCATCCACCTGTGATTCCTCTGGATGCAACCGAGGTAGTAATTGGTCTGCCACACCTCCAAATCAGAAGGGAGGGAAAAGGAATTCTGCTGGGGGATATGAGATATGGCAGAAACAGTACAATTCCCTTAAACACCAATACCAAGCAGGGAGCACCATTTTTTAAGGTGACATTAGGAAACAAGGAACGGACCCACCCCTGTTCTTGAATGGAAGGACCCCTGGTGGCATTGCTGGGTATTTATTGGACTGCTGACTGCAAGGTCAGTGGTTCAAACCAACCACGGGACAGAGGAGGCTGCCTTCTTCGGTAAAGACTTACAGCTTCAGAAGCCTTATTTAGGGTTGCTATGAGTTTGAAAGGAGCCCTGGTGGCATAACGGTTATGAGTTGGGCTGCTAACCACAAGGTCAGCAGTTCAAAACCACCAGCTGCTCTGAGGGAGAAAGATGTGGGATTTTCTATCCCTGAAGAGTTACAGTCTTGGAAACCCCCAGGGGCAGTTCTACCTCAGGGTCAAAGAACTGAGGCAGTTCTACCTTGGGCAGTTCAAAGTGACAGGGTCACTTTGAGTTCGAATCATCTTGATAGCATTGCGTTTGGTTTGGGTCTGGGACTCAGCATGGGCTTGATGGCAGTGGGGCATATCCTGGCTGGTGCCATGGTTAGTGTGCTTGACTCTTAACCAACATGTTGGGGGTGAGGATCGAACAGGAGTGCCTCGGAAGGAAGGATTGGCAATCTGTTTCTAAAAAAATAAGCCACTGGAAATCTGGAACATCGTCGTTCTCGGACACACAGGGAGCCCTCTGTAGGTTGGAGTTGACTTGCCTGCTCCTGGTTTGATCACTTGGAACGAAACATCCAGAGTTCTTTACATTTTCTGAAAACGGCCACCCCAAGCTCCCATCCCAGGCTCCCGTCGTTGAGGCCTGTTGCTTCTCAGGAGGTGCTCACTTCCCCACTTGTGCGACTTCCCCACTTGTGCCTCATAGGCGTTAGTCCATGTTTAGCAGGGTTTTTTTACGGGGCATGCAGATCTAAGAACGTCAGAAAAATAGTTTCCCTGTGTATTATGAAGTTAAAGATTAAGCTAAGATGCACGACGCCCCTGAACAAGCTTGTGCCAAATCTGGTGCTAATTGGAAATAAAACCTTATTTCGATGTGGCTGGAGTTGAGCCTTTGCAGGTGTTCTCTGCATCCAGCCAGTGCCCTCACAGGATGGATGTGGATTGGAATCGTCTAGTATTTCAATTGCTTCTTCGTATTCCTCACAATAAATCTAGCTGAGTACTTTGCCTTGTACCTGGTTTGGATTCGGTGGACATAATAGAAACATTTTCTAGTATAGTCATTCTAGTAAACTTGCTAAGGGGAAAAAAGTCTTCAGTCATTGAAGGAAACAGAAGGGAGGGGTTTGATGTAGCAGCTTTAGTTTTTAGAAAGGAGGATCCAGGTGGGCTCCGATTGGACCGTGATCCATCAGGACTGGCCACAGAGCGGGGGCTTCTGTCCACTTCCCGAGCACTGAACTCCAGCCACTGGGTCAGACAGGCTGGAGAGTAGACGCAGTTTAGATTCAGACTTAGTTTCTCAGTTCTTAAATCCTTAGAGTCTACTTCTGGCAATGTGTCACCATTTTCTGGAATTTAGAATTGATCAGGGCTGATTCACCCTTGGTCTCTTATCTCAAAACAGGATACACCTTCTGCAGATTAGAGCTCTGGTGTGTGTGTGTGTGTGTGTGTGTGTGTGCCTGCCTTTAAATGTTTGCTGTGCATTAGGTGAAGATTTACACCTCAGAGCATCAGTTTTATGTTCATGCACATCTCGTTTCTACTCATCTCTTGCAGTCCCTCAGTGTACCATTGTGCATCCTTCGTCTTCCAGTGTTTCCTGTCTCCCTCCCTCCTTTCAGAGGCCTCTGCACTTTGTCAGTACAGCCCTTGGACCTTAAAATGGGTGGCTATTCTAACACGGAGGTGAGTTCAGTTCCAGACTTGAAGGTTGGCCAAGGGGTTCCACCAGTTTCTCTTTAACCAGCAAGCCTCATTTCTTTGTGCGTTCTCCCCCCTTCTATACGGGATCCTCTCGCGTGATGCTTTGCAGAGTAGCCATGGGCTTCTCCAGGATGTGCCCTTTCAGAAGCAGGTCTGTCTTCCAAGGCCCCTGCGGTGGGCTTGAAATGCCAACTTTTCAGCTGGCCACCAAGCTTCAGCGCTGTGCCGCCCAGGGACTCTGGAAGAGGCAAACCACAGCACAGGACGTTTCCTGAGGGTGGGTGAGCGCTCTTTGCTGCCTGCGACTCTAAGGCTTTAAGAAGTTGACCTGACAGGAGATGCAGCTGGCTGACCCCTGGAGCGAGGAGAAGCTCCTCTCCTGATGTTTTCTGAGGGACGTGGGAGACCCAAAATTGCTCTTGGATCAGGAAGGAGAGTGTCCAGAACTTGAGGGATCACCTCACAGCTCTGCTTCCCCACTGAGGAGGCAGGGCTGTGTGCGCCTCGGTCTGATGTGCTTGGCCTCTGGTAACCCTGCTAGGAAGAGGCAGAGAATGCAAACCAGTCAGAACGCTAGGACTAAGCAGTCAATGTAGACTTCCAGAGGAAGTCACTGAATTATTTCATTTTAAAATTCCTGCTTCACATGCTTCTGACTGTTTTGTGTTATTTTTTTCTGGTTTCTATAAAGTTCCTATAAGGTGGGTTGTCTGGGATCTAAGTAATGTGACATCACCTGCCTATGCAAATTCAGGTCCACATGCTAGGAACTGAGATGATAACTCTGTTCAGGAATGTGTGTTTTTTAAGCGATGCTTGGGGTAGGTCAGTGCTTAGACCCAAAGTATGTCTAATTAGATCGGTATTTTCTCAGCAGGGGACTTGCTTTCTGGTTCTGGGAAGGCATGAGTGATAGGGGACCCTTCTGCCTTCAGATGGCTCCTTTGGGTTACTGCTGAAACTTAGAAACCCGTATCTGTGGCCTTAGCAGTATGATGTCAGCAAAGTCTCTTGACATCATGCTGCTCAGACCCAAGTTCAAATCCTGACATCTCCAGTAGGTGTGTGTTCTTGGGAAATTCACATGCTCACTCTGAGCCTGTATTTTCGCACCCAGAAATGACCGTGCTAAAACCTTGATCACAAGATTGTGGCAGGCGTCATGGTGAAAGAGCATGAATGTGAAAGCATTGGAGAAACCACAGAAGATCCCTCGTGTTGATTACTGGATGGTGTCAAGGACATTCCGCCTCCTTTCTTCATCAGTTTGCTTCTCCCCTCCAGTGTTTTTTCAGATCTCTCTCTTTTTTCCCCTTCTCTCTTTAATAGTGTAGATGCGGATATCTTTTATATTATAGCTTCAAAGTGGTCTGAATTGTTTTCCACCATTGAATGGTTTATTTAAAATAACTTATTCAATTGCTTAGGGGTCTCCAGTTTTCTTAAGATCAGTTTGCTGCTTAAAGGGAAAATACCCAGTTTACAAATGGGGGGAAAAAAATACCCCAGGCCCAAGTTTTGTGACGAACTACTGCATAAATAGAAGTGCTGTGTAGATGCAAATACATTGATTTGTGGTCTCTTCTTTGTCTCCTTTAGTATGCAGCTAGGGAGCAATTATGTTTCGGTATTGTTCGTTTCTTATAAAAACACAAAACCCAGTGACACGGGAGCTAAGAGTGCCCCCCTTAAGATGGGAGTCATCATAAAATGTGCACACGCATCTGTTTGCACCCCAGGAAGTCTCCGCACTGTCATGTTTGCAGAATCGTTAGCGAAGGGTTTCAGTGTGCATACGCCACGTGCACTGGAGGTGAAAATTGTTTCTGCATAGGAGACTTGATGAGTTCAGGTTGTTCAGCATTTCCTTATCTAATGAAGGAAAGGTAAGAAGGTGCCCCTGCGAGCCAGCTGGGGCTGCGCTTCATCAATTGAACCTTCATTTACATGGGACGCAGAAAAATGCTTCTGAGGACTGAAGAGCTAGTGAGCCCCAATTCCTCCATCAGAGACACGAGAAACAAGGGGGCAGCCCACCCGCACAGCCAGGGGCAAAGACTGGCGGTGCCCATCCGCCCAGGTAGTTCTCGGTGCTCACTGCCTACTCACCTTTCAGAGCTGCCCAATTGCAAGCTCCTATTGTTTTCCCAGGTACTCTTGTGTGTGGGTCTCTAGGAGTTGAAATCATACCATAAGACAGGTCATGTTAGTTGTTCATCTTGGGTGAATGTTGACAGGAATACCAGTTTGGGGCAGACCAGAGAGGACCACCTTTGTTTCTCTTTCCCCAAAGTTCACACTTATAGGTGGGCCTTGAGGGTGGGAAATGAAACCCCTACTATGTAACATTGTTACCTCCCCCACATTTGCACAATTTGCCACCATCCACACTGAGTCCAGCCCCTGCTTGGGTTCTTCCAATCGTTTTGCCTCCTTAGGGTGCGTATGGCCAGAGAGAGGTATTGCCAGGGGGCTAGGCTTTCATGAAGAGACTGGACCAGGAGCTGGGCAGCACAGGGGGGTAAAGGGGAGGCCAGTGTGAGGCCGAGCTGCAGGGCGTTGGGACGGAAGGGGTCGACAGGAATCCAGAGTCGGAGCGTGGTGCACTGTGGGCCCTCCAGGATGCATGGATGGTTCTTACGTTTACTTAGTGGATATCTGGTTAGCTTTCCACCCTGTGCCAGGATCTATGAATAGAGGCGAAATGCAGCCAGCGGTAGGGAGTGGAGGGTCTGCTTTTACTCACTCAACTCATGGCACAT